GGAAAAGATTGCCATAGGTAGTTAAATAATGTTACAGAAGCACATCATAGAGTTACAAAATAAAATGCTACATGTATGAGATCTGAGGGAAAAGGTTACAACCGGCCAGGATGCTCCAGCAAGACTTCCTAGAGGAAACAGCATTGGAATTAGGCTTTAAATGATGGGTAGGAATTTAATTGGCAGAGAAGGACTAGAGAGCATTCCAGGCACCTGGGCAATGTGAGAAACAGCATAGAGTTAGGAAGGCACGTGACATATTTTTGGGATCTCAAACAATTTAGTTTAACTAGTGTAGAGGATGCATAGAGGAGATGTATAAGATAAAATTGAACGTTAAAGTAGAAGCAGAGCCCTGAATGGCAGGAAGAATAATTTGAAATTTACCCTCAGGACAACAGAGATCCACTGTGTTTTAAAAAAATTTTAGCCAAGATGTAATGTGGCTAGATGTATGTAAGAGGAGTATTATTCTGGCTGTGGTGTAAAAGATATATTGGAAAGGGCAGGAAGACCCATTAGGACACTATTGTAGGTGTTCAAACTGGTGGTAATAAGGGCCTGCCTGTATTAAAGTGGTGATACTGGTAATAAAAAAGAGGGAATAGATACAAGACATATTGTGGAGATGGAATCAATAGGATGTGATGACTGATTGGCTATACGAGGTAAAGGAAAGAGTCCAAGATAATCCTAAGGCTACAAACCTGCAAGAAGACGTGAGTAGTAATGCAGACAAAAGGATCAAATATACGGGAAGGGTAATAAGCTTAGTTTGGGACTAGCCAAGAAAAAATACCCAGAAGGCAACTAAAAAAGTGGGTCTGGAGCTCAGATGAGCAGCCAAGCCTAGAGATAAAGAAGTGGGAGTCACTGGAACCTAGACCATCATTATCAAATGAGATGGTATGAGATGGTGTATGTGATATTTGGACATGCATGACCATTATAGGAATTTGCTAAGCTTGACTATGCATGTTTTTTACCAGGATTTTTTTTTGTTTGTTTGTTTTTCTTAAAGGTCTCCAGGCAGGGAGGGGAGGTAAGACTGAAAGGAAATAGTTTTTTGCTAGTTGAAAAAATATAAAATAAAAACCCTGAGCTAACAAATGAGAAAACCTGAGTGATACTAGAAGGATTTATCATTATAGGTTGTGGATTTTATTCAACTACCAGTTTATGCATTTAGTGTGTTACTTTATTTTTATACTGTTGAATGAAACATTTTTCTTTTTTTTAAAATTTATTTTATTTTTTAAAAATTTTATTAATTTATTTTGATTTATCAATAATCACTTCCATATGCTTTTGAGTTTAAAATTTTTCTCCCCCTTCCTCCCCACCACCCTCCCCAAGACTGTGCACAATCTGATATAGGCTATACATTCCTATTAAACATATTTTCACATTAGTGGTGTTGTAAGTAAAAATTAAAACCAATAGGAGGAACCATCAGAAAGAGGAAACAAAACTCAATAGAAGAGAAAAAAAATAGCAATTCAACTTTCACAGTTCTTTCTTTGGATATGGATAGCATTTGCCATCACAAGGCCTCTGGAGATGTCTTAGATCCTTGTATTGCTGGGAAGGGTTAAGTTTATCATTATTAGTCATCATACAACGTGGCTGTCATTGTGTACAACGTTCTCTTGGTGAATGAAACATTTTTTAAAAGTTTTTTATAACTTTAGTGTGGTGTTAAAGGATCAGCTATTATTACTTGCAGGTGGTAGTGCAATCCATGAATGAATCAGATTACCAAGGGAAAATATATAAGAAGAGAAGATTAAGGACAGGCCCTTGAGAAACACTGGATTTAAGGGGTCAGGAAGAGGCAGAGACATAAGGGGCAGTTAAAGACAGAAGGAGAAGCAGGCAAATGTGATGTTTCTGCAACCATGGGACACCATGACCGTAGGCAAGTCACTTAACCTCCTTAAAACTAAGTTTCCTCAGCTGCAAAATGGGTACACTACCTTTTAAGGTTGTTTGGGATGAAAGTGCTTTTGAAAACTTAAAAGTGTTATATAAATTAGTATTAGTATTATTAAGGGATGGTAAAAAGTATAAAAATGTCCAGAGGTGAAGGAAGAGAACTGAAAAGAGGCCATTGGATTTAACAATCATGAGCACATTGGTGATATTTAAGAGAGCAGGTTGAGATTTTTTAATGGAGAAAAGCCCAATTGCAAGGGTGGGTGGCTAAGAGTGGAAGGAGAGAGGCAGTAGGCATAGACAATTTTTTCAAAAATTTTAGTGACAAATGGGAGGGAAAAAATAAAACCAAGGGAAATTTTTTTTCTCATTATTGTTTTGATTTTTAGGATTGGGACCCCTGAGCATGTCTGAAGGTAGACAAGAGCTAATCAATGGAAAGAGATTTAAGAGCCATGACAGAAGAGGTCTAGAGAATCCAGAGAACAGGTAGAAGGCAGAGCAAACAAGTAGGCTAAGCAGGGCTTGGTTTTGGAAGAGCTGAAAGGAGTTCATGCTGGATAACCTCAGTCTTCTCCGTGAAGATAAGGCCATCTATCCTAAATTGTGGAGTGGGGAATTGTTCGGGGTGAGAGGAAAGCAGTTAGTTTGGATCGATTAGGAATAGTGAGTACTGACTTCTGCTGATTGACATAAAAATTTCACCAATTTAAAAATACTATTGAAATTGTACACTAGACCCATTTTACTCAACCATTTTACATGGAGTCTTCTCAGACCCTACCCCATCCTTTCCCCTCCTTTAGTTAGCCCAAAGCCCCACTCCACTGCTATTATCCCTCAAAGTCCCCTGGGCCTTTCCATTTGCCCTGAAGCTAAACCTTCCTATATATTTTGACTCCTTAATTAGAATGTGAGCTCCCTGAGGAACTATCCTGATCTATTAGTATCCTTAGTGCTTAGAAATGTTAGGTGTATAGGATGTGCTTAATAAATGCTTTTCCATTCCATTCTATTCTTGTAGAAATATTAGCATCAGAAACTTGAGAGCTATCTCCATTGTACAGTGATAGCACTCAAAATAGAAATGATCCCTGTGGGCTGCCTACAGACTTAGGAAACCATCAATTAACATTATCTATGTTGTATTAATATGGCTCAGTTTTGATACCTCTGGTATCAAGACCTTCGACAATCTGCCTTCTCTGCCATCCAAGCCTTATTTCATGCTACTTCAAATATTCTATATGCCAGCCAAACTGGACTACTAATTAGCCACTCCCCTTCCCATTCTGCCCTATCCATATCGCTGTGCACACTACTTCCTTTACCTAGAAGGAACTGCATCTCTCTTTTCTTCAGACTTCAGTTGAGGTGTAGCCTTCTCAGAACTTTCCTCGATTCCCCAAGTAGAAGTGATTATATACCTACAAACAACTTTTTTTCCTTTTTGGTGAGGCAATAGGAGTTAAGTGACTTGCCCAGGGTCACACAAGTCTCAAGTGTAAAGTACAGTAAGTGGCAAGTCTCCAAGGCCATAGTTGAACTCGGGTCCTCCTACTTCCAAGGCTGGAGTTCTATCCACCACGCCACCTAGCCGACCCTATACAACTCTTTTCCAACTCTCATACCTTGATTCCTTCCATGCATACATTCTAACTTAAATTAGTTGTGTATGTTAATGGTGTGTCACATCCACTTATATAACCATAAACTCCTGAAGGTCAGGAACTAGTTTCTGTCTTTCCATGTCCACTTTGAATTGACTTGAATTCTAAGTCTCTACCTAATTCCTTTTCAAGCAAGAATGTTTCTAAACCATTGTGATCACAGAAGTACTCTTTTGGTTAACTCAAAAAATGATCAAGGACTTATAAGAACTGATGCAAAAATAGGCAGAACCAGTAAAATGCCATGGGCTTGGAATCAGTAAGACTTTTCTTCATGAGTTCAAATCTGGCCTCAGACATTACTAGCTATGTGAACCTGGGCAAGTAATTAAACCCCATTTGCCTCAATTCCTCCTCTGTAAAATGAGCTGGAAAAAGAAATGGCAAATCACTCTAGTATTTTTGTGACTCCATTTGGGGTTTTCTTAGCAAAGCATCAGACACAACTCAAACATGAAATTGTAATGATTAGGACTGGCCCCAAAGCAATGTGACTTCACCTGCCTCCTTTTTTTGAGGAGGTAGAGAATTATGGCTCTAAAACATTACAATTAATGTTAAGACTTTTTTGTTCTTTATTATAAGGGATGTCTGGAGGTATATATTGGAAATTAAGTGTGATGTGAAAACAAAAGTTATCAGAGAATCATGTAGTCAGGATTTGGGGAGGACCTCAGTACAAATACTGGAAGTCCCTGCTACCTAGTGTTGCATTTGGGAAGGTGGGAACTGGGGAGAGAGATAGGAAACTATTCTTGAATATAATAGATACAGGTAAAATGCCTGACCCACTAGAAAAAAACTGAATAGTGAGCCCTGAACAAAGCTAAAGAATTGTGTGTTTAATGCTTTTCAAAATGAAGTGATACATTAATAGGATTTATTATTGAAAATTAATAATAATTAAAAGCTGAGGTACTGTGATACAGTAGAGTAAGGGGCTTGTTTTCAGCATTTACTGTGCTAATATTCAGTAATTCCCATAATCTGCACATTTTCTCCATGTGAAAGACCTTAATACTTCCCTCTAGAATACCAAAATCCACGTTGGGTCAGGTTAGTAGTTACCGAGGAACACCCAAGGGACACCTAGCAAAGATCTCAAAAATGGACCAGAAAATATCTTATAATCCAGAGAAATAGTATCCTTAGGACATGTAAGGTATTGGGTTTGAGAAATCTAACCACTATGTAAGGTATCCTCATCCCTTTTGTAATATCTCTCTTCTGGGATTCACAATATGTATATTTTCACGTTAAGTCCTCATCTGTGCAAACTGGTTACCCTACTCTGAATCTGAGATTACTTGATATTCATGTTCTGTGAAATGCTGCATATTTTTTATTGCTATATAAAACAACTTTGAAATTAAAAAAAGGAAAAAAGTGGACAAATAATTTTGAAGCAAAAGACATTTTATTTGCTGACAAGTAAAGACCATACACTTTCAAGAAGTGCAAAATGCACCAAAGACCCCCCCCATACAAAAACCGGTGTTAGTACACATGTTTAAGCAATGCTACACTTTTTTTTTTGGCAAAGTGCTGTACTGTATTATTCAGTCTGTTTTGTAAAACCAATCATTCCTCTGTGAACCAATCAATATCAAATTTTCTACAAAAACAGAAAGTAGACAGTGAGTGGCTCAAGAAATAAGCTGCCATTTATGCATAGATTGATATACAGTATTTCTCCTAACCGAATGTCCTTGAGTCTTTCAAGTTGTTCAAATTTTCTGTGTATAGAAACACATTTACAAGGCACATAGTCCAACTGACAATACTATTTAATCTAGTTACAAAATGTATTGTCTTGGGGGGAAAAAAATCAATGTATTCACAACATTTCTAAAACAAAACCATAGCCATTTCTTTTCCTTTAAATAAAACACATAAAAAAGATAACAGTTAAAAGTCCAGAACCTCTGGGGAAAACAAACCAAAGGTGTCAGCAGAAACCCTTCACATACACCAGATCCAACTTCCCCTCCTCTCTAGTGGCTTGGTTTGTAAACAGCCATCCAGTTAGAAAATAAAAATCCCTTAAAATTCCAGACAAAAATACAGAGCATTATTATATGGAGCATAACATTTAAACTTAAATCCAAAACAAAACAAAACCACAACATATACATTAAAGAATCCCCAATGATATGCAACCATATATATCATCTCAAACGGAAGCTGCCTTTTCTGAAAGTAACTTCTCCTCCCAAAATAAAGACATTAAAACAGAGATGTCGTCCTAGCTGCATAATTTTCCTAGTTTTCAAACTACTTAAACTTGGACAGTTTCAAGAAAATTGTGGTATGACAAGGCTCATCACCACAAAAAAAGGTGAATATTTTTCTAAATATAAAAATTTAAATAACATTTTAAACATACATGTGGAAAGGGATGAAATCACCTTACCTAACTTGACTGCTGACAAAAGACCTTCAATTCTGGTGACTCAGTTCTACAAGAATTAGTAAGAACAGGCCTTAAAAAACTGCAATGACATTACCAAAACAAAAAAACACCAACAGATTAGTATCTCCTGGTACAAGGAGCAGTCTCAAACTGTCTCTACAGCAAAAATAAAAGCCCTAGATTAGGAAGTTCTTTTCACTTCATTATTCAATCTCACTATTTAAAGTGACAATTTATGTGGTCTAATTTGAGGTGAACAGATTTAATCTTCCTTCATTTTTGTCTTTTCCAACTCAAAGAAAATCAGGGTAAATTTAGGCTGTACTCTTCCTTACTCTTTTTTCCTTTTAAGAAAATAAAAAGGATTAAAAAAGTGATTCCACTTTGAAAGCATAAAATAAGTAAATGATAAAGGTTTTATCAGATGGCAAACTTACTGTTCTCCCAGTAAAAGAGGTTAGCTTAGGGCTGGGACAGAATCAAATCACAACAGAAGAGTATGTAAACCAAAGCATGCAGCACAAATCAAATGAAGGACAGTAACAAAAATTCCCCACAGTAGGAAATTTTATATTTGAACCATTTTTAGAACTGCAAAAACACCAAACAGACCAAACCAAATGAAATTATAAATGCATTTATATGGAAGATAAATCATAGACCAGTTGATTTTCAATTTATATCATAATACTGCCATACGAAGGACAGAATGTAATGTCTTTATGTATCTAGGTTTTATTAACAAAAAACTCAACTGCAGACAGTGAAAAAGTCTTAAGAAATTTTAAAAGGGGCACATTTCTCCTTGCATGATTTCATACAGTACAGGCTGAATAAGCAATTTCAAATCACTAGTATTTATCAACAAACTTTAAAATCTAATCTCTTTGGCCATATTTCAAAAAATACATCAGATTCACATTTCTAACTAGGCTACTGGCCTTGCAGCACCTTGAATAACCAAGAACTTCAACCAAGTTTTAGGCAGGAAATTTTATTGCCAACATGCTTATAGTATGTACAGACTACATCCTGATAATTCTCATCCTATAAAATTCCAACAGTTTTTAAGAAAGAATTTTAAGCTTACAAAACTAAGCTGATAGGCAAACAAAGGGTCAGTAGCTAACATAAAGGTGAATGAATTAAAAGCCCTCTAGAAAGAGGGAAAAATACAGTAATTTTATACACAAATCTGTTCATGTGGCCATAGCAAATTTTCACAACTGAATGTCAGATCTATAGCTTGAGGTACCAGCACTTCATGTAACCTATGTATAAGAATCTTCCTTCTCAATACTGAGAAGCTTTACAAGAAACCATTTAGCCATATTATTTTCAAGTTATCCAACTGTACTGCCCTATTAGCAAACAGTTTCTACATCATTCTCCTCCCATGTAAACACAAGCAGTTTAACAAAATACTAGCCCAGTTTGACAGAACTTTGCAGACTTGGCCCCTAATCAGAAAAAAATAAATAAATAATAGGGAAAGCCATGAAAAGTAGACTTAAATCCCCCATTTTGAAAAATGACACTTTCTTAGTGCTACTGGAAGAACAAACTATTTTAAGCATCTAAACACACTAACCATCTGACCTCTTGAATTACAATCACCCCATGCTATTCAACACAGCTTTTCACACTTAAAGGGGAGGCAAAGCCCCCATAGTTCCTAGTATCTGAAGTCCACACAGAGCCATTTAAAATAATACTCTGCATGATTATAATGCTTTCGCTTTTGAAAGCATCTTAAAACATGCATTTATTATTTAGTCAGGGCTGGACTATAGCCGGAAAAAGGAATGACAAATTATTAGCATGATGATGCTCTTCTATTGCTAATAGAAATGGACTTTTGAGTTCTAATTGTGTCCTCAGTCATACAAAACACTGAGAATTTGTAGTGTGTATAGCTCAGTATAAAAGCCATCACTAAATACTAAAAAAGTAAAGCTAGCCACAGATTAATGGTAGTCCGTCATGGGGTTTTGGGTTTTTTTGTTTGTTTGTTTTGTGAAGCTAATCATCCTGAAGAGAAATTAAACCAGAGCTTGGCTTCATTAGCACCATGCTCTCTTGAACTACTTACCCAGCCCTGGCAGAGATATAGCCAAATAACAACTGATTCAGTAGAGAGAGCCCCTTGGAATTACATGGAAGGTCCAGTTCTAGAAATCTCCTAATTCCACTTTAACCTTATTTCTTATTTACAATCCTCACAACACCCCTGTGAGGTAGGTATTTTTATTCAACTACTGAACTGAGGAAAACAGGAGAGAGTAGTTCAAGATTTTGACTGAAACAGAAAATTTAGCCCATAGAGCAAGAACCAAAAATTAAGAAAGCCCCAGCTGCTACTAATCTTCATTCAAGACAATTTTGGTCTGGAAGCAGTGTTTGTCAGGGGTCAATCCATACACACTACTTATCAGCACAGGCTCAACAGTGGAAAAGCAGAATTAATAATTCTATTCCTAGACTGGAAATAAAGACTTGTGCTTTTCATTGTGTAAAGTGAAGAGGCTGTATTAATTTCTACATAATAATAATAATAATAATAATGATGGCTATTTTCTAATTCTCCAACTAACCAATAGGGAAAAAGAAAAGCCCTAAGTAATCAAAACACTGGAACAAATGAGCATTTTTCATAAATGAACACTTCTAAGTATAAACCACAGATCTGCTTAATTTTACTAAATGAAACAGCTATTTCTGTCCCACAATAACCTGTAATATCAGTACCACATCATTGTAATTATCAGAAAGATAGCTAACTCCTATCTATGAACTAAATGTACCTGATATATCAAAATTAACTGTATGACTGATGAGGAAATAGTAAAATATCAAGTTCTCTTTCAATAGAAAGTTCAGCCATGATTCCATTATGTCCATGGCAACCACTGCCTTTTAATGCTTGTTAGTGTGTAAAAAAATGTATTCGTTATATACAGAAAAGATTATCAAGTACTGGTCATTAAAGTGTATGGCTGACCCTGAGAAATTTTGTTTACTCAAACTTTTAATACAAAAAAAAAATTCATCTGAAACCTGACTATTCCATCACTCTGTAAGAAATTTCCTTAAAATGCCAACTAACTCACATAACTTAGTTGAGTCAAAGACATTCCCAAAATATTAAACACTGCAATCATACTGATGTTTCTAAAACATTCTGAAAAAGTTCAGGAAAAAAGTTAACTCTGAAAAGCAAGGCATTGTGTGATACACAGAATGTAAATTTTTTTTAAAAAAATTATCTAGAGAAACAATTCTATTTAAATGATTGATCATCAGTCAAGCTGCAAACACTACACCTTCGTTACTTGAGCGCGTGTGCGCACATCACACTCACCCACACTCACATATAAAACCAAGAACAATATACCAACAAATTGATATGATTAAGACTTGGAATTCTTAGTAATTGTACTGACGCTGGCAAGGCTGGTGAACCACCCACCCATTGTGCTTGATTTGCCGAGTATGGCAATCCCTGGTAAGATTTTGGCGACGGAGGCTATTTCTGTTCAGAGAATGTCTTTCACCATGTTCCTTTATCCACTGAGAGGGACGAAAGCTCTTGGTTTGTTCCAGGAAAGTTGAATGAGCAGCAAGAGCTGCAACATAGCAACGAACATGTTGCCTCACTTCATTCCGTATTTCCATTCTGAAATAGCAAAAACATGTCAAATGTTCACAAACAGAATGTTAATTAAATCTATCAGTTATTAAACTTACAAAACTGACTTTTTGGCTAAATTTGAAAATTTACCCTTTTGTACTTCTAAGTATTTAGTTAGCATTGTAAAGAGTTGGTCTTTGTGCAGTAAATACTGTTTCAGTCTTTGGGGTAACATTTAGCTAAAATATCCATACATAAGATTCACAGACAAGGCAGCTATATAATTTTAGTATAGGCAGCTATATATATTTTAGTATAGAATAGTGGAGCACTTTAAACATCCCTCAGGAGCACAACTAACATCTGCTATTGGATAACAATGATATAAACAAAGCCTTTAGAATGGAAAAACTGGGGGGGAAGTGTAATATGATTTGACCAATGTTATACAAATTTGTGTAATATAACTGGCTATGTGATTCTAATGATCATTTTCCCAGGTATACAATTACTGCTCAAATAATTTTTAGTTTAGAATAAAATGCTTAATCTAATGTTGATCTAGGTATTTAGAATGGTATTATGTAACCCAAGCTACTATTAGAAACATTAAATATGATAGCACAAAACAGCAGCACTGTAATATGCTTTCTGCACTGAAGATCTAATCGTATTGAACTGAACTGTATTCATAACAAGAATGCAACACTGTGATTCACATACTACAGAAGAGGATCACGTCTACACAGCCAAATTTACATGGCTATTTCCATTCATCTGCTATATTTGGTTTTGTATGTTTAAGAACAAGATCAAAAATAGAGGGCTCAATAAGTATCTGCTGAATGGCTTAAATTATCTAACATATGGATTTTTCTAAATAGCAGAATTCATAATCACATAAGGAAACTCATAAAGAGCCAACAGAAAATAAAGATGCTTCCACTCTTGTCAATTCTAAGTTTTAAAATCAATACCTTTTAAAATACAAAAAAATAGATTTTCACAAAATCTCAGTCTTACTAATAAGACTTTAAAATGTAGCTTGAGTCCCAAGGTGATGAATACTTACTGAGCCTTAAGCAGCTTTTCTTGACCCTACAATGTCAAATGGGGAACTATTAAACTAAAGAGATTTCAAGTGCTAGTTAAACTTTTTTGGTCAAATTTTCTTTATTTAGAACTGATTTACTTGAATTTATATATTACTTAAACCTAATTAAGATGATGGAAGAACAAAATTTATCACAAATAAACCAATGTTAAATGCAGTCAAGTGTGAACCATAACTCAGTGCCATGAATTCACTACAGGGTTCCTTCAGTTCTATGATGAAACAGTAAAATGTTCTATAGTAACATCACTAAAACAGACTAATCAGTAACACAGCTAGAATGGATCAAAAGTCCATCTAATTGTTTAAAAATGATACCTAGCACCCACACTGGGACAGATGGATCTTTAAGAATCTGAAAATTCTATGAGTCAGTTATTAAATACCTAACTGTAATGTTGTGGGGGGGTTCTTCAGTAGAAAATATTGCATGTTTTAATGTTCATTAAGCATTCCTTATTTTACTTCTTAACCCTGGACACCCCATTTCCCACCCCCACCTCCCACCCCCTTGTCTGTTCCCTTCCTAAGGCCCAAGGGCTTGGCTCAGTGCTTACCTTTCCACCGCCATCCTCCAATCAGGGTTTTTCCCTTACTAGGACACTGCAGTCAGAAGAAAGTCTGAGAGAGGGATGGCTGCTGGATTTGAAGTTTTTCCTCCCTCTACTTCCCCTTCACCACCTCCAGGCCTAGAATTAGACCAGGTCTGGGGTAAGAGGAGAACCAGAGGGTCCCCAATCAGGCTCAGGTAAGAGCCAGTAAAGTGCAGGGCGGCAAGGGGTAGGGTGAGGGGAGGTTAGTTGGGGAGATGTGAAGGAAGGAAGCATGAGAACTCCCGAGTGTCGGGTGCAGGGTCTGTTTGAATGTAAGCTGGGAATTGCCTACAATTAAGAACTCAAAAGAAAAAAAAATACAAAGCTCATTCATAAAACACTAACTGGGTGACATATTTTAAAAGACATTTAAGGGGTCTTTAAAATGATGCAAAACTGGATGACAACTGTCATTTATACATTAATAATGTACTAATTAGGTTTTTATCCTTTACTACTCTCCTAACAGAGAAATTAGGTATGGTTTCAATGACATTTTAAAAGAAACTGCTTTAATTAACAAAGTGATGAAACTAACCATCTTATTCTCTGCTTCCCAAACTGTTCTAGTCTGAATGAATCAATGTTTTAATTTGTTTGTAAACTTAATGTTTTGGATCAAATGCTTTAGATAGACTGAAGCCCTAGGAATCTAGCTCTGGATAATCTACAGTAAGTAGCTCCTTAATTAGTGATACCTTCCCTGCCAACCTCATCTGATAGGACTGTATAAATCTACAGATATGAAGCATTTTGTGATTTCTGAAGCGCTATATAAATGTGAGTTAAGATATCAACAGCAAAGAAATGCTTTGGCAAAATAATTTTGGTCCAATTACTAAGACTATAAATGTAAGGCTGTGTCCAAAACTCAAATCTGAGCATATCTAGGTTAGCTGGTCATCATTTGGGCGTAAATAACACTGATCCCTATTTGATAACCCAAATCCTATAACGGATGGGGGAGTAAGGGGGTCGGGATGGAATTCTAGTAAATATGGCAAGACTTCCAGATGCCATCTACAACTTCAGACAGAGGTCAACTGTAATTCAAGTATTTTATTTTAAATTTTTTCTAGATGATAGTTTAACATATAGATTATGTCATGTGGTGAAAAATAACTAAAAGAGTGATTTTTCACCCTATCACATAATTGTGTTGACATGTACATCCTTTCAATAAATCTTTTATTTGAAATGTTTATCTTTCCATCTCAAATTAAACTTTGTACTACAGTTAAAGAAAATTACTTGTATTGTATATGGATCATGTAAGTTACTTACAACTTACCTAGGACTGCTTGGATTATGAAATTCATCAGTCTCACAGCTGCCCTCATTAAGATTTCTGGAGGAATTATAAACAGACATGCTGGGATGTTCAATTAGAAGGTTTTCCAAAGGACTGGTTTCCACCTTGATAGTGGTTAATCCACCTGCAGTAAAGCATGGGGGAGGGGTAATAAACCAACTCTCCTCCATAGGACAGGCCTCAAATTGGACGAAACAAGATTCACTAGTATCAGCTAAACATTCCAAGGAAGCTGGTAAACAGGAAAAAACTGGAGGATGCTCAGTAGGTGATTCTTCACTGGTGTCTTCCTCTTCTACTTCTGTTGAAAAATTAGTGTCTAGGTTGTGTTCCAAATCCAAAAGGATGTTGAACAGTTCCACAGTGGAAATGGATTGTCACATTGATTATTTAAATAAATAAATCCATAGGGTATATGGGGGGAAAAAAGGGAAAATGTTATTAACATCACATTATGTTCACATGCCTCTATTTTCATAACAAAGGTTTGGTTATCTGTTCAAGAAAGAGAAGTGGTAATCAACTATGACTTGGTAATGGTTAATCAGCTGTGATAAGCCTAATGGCTTATCATTTATTTTTCAATGAATTGCCAGGAAAAAAAAGGAAGTTCATTACCTGTAATAAAAGTGGATTTCCACTAGCTAGCCCTAATTTTGTCAGTTTTTCAAGATCTATAAATCAAAGTCAATCACTCTGGTCCCCTGGCACAAAAAAACTATGTGTTATTTTTCCAACAAATTATTTATTTACATTTTAACCTTGCAATACCTCAGAGTTGCTGATTTATTCATGCACAAACTAAGAACATTTACCACTTCTCATAATGATTTTATACTGAAGATCTCTTACCTATAAAGTCAACAAGAATCCATTCATCATCTTCTTTTTCACTAAATTCTGGTTCTTTGCTAGAAGAGTTCTTGATTTCACCCACAAACATACTATTCAACCTCTGGAACATTGTTAAGGCAAGAATGAGACTTTGGCTGGTTCTGTAGCTGCGATTTCAAAATGCTGTCTTCGATTAGCCCAATGGCACAGACAGGAAATTAAAGTGCATAAATTCTTACTTAAAGTATGGAGTGTGGAGAATCATTATCCTCAGCTGAAATAAAAAAAGAATAATTACTGCTAAACAGACATATTTATAGCACTCTAGTCTTATGTCTTCCTTTTATTTCTAGAAAGGCATTAGCCAAATTAGCTTTTCCATGGAGTGAGGGGGAAAAACACTTCTTTCCTATACTGTATTTGCTCTAGTGGCCAACATTTTACTTGATCAACCAACAAATATTTGTAATGCTACTGAAGGAAGCCACAGCCAGAGTTTTGACTCTGGTCCAATACATACTTGTAAGCATAGCCCCGTTCATAGCACAGTACAGTAGAGAGGTTTTGTAGTCCCTGAGGGGCTACTACAGGTATTAAACTCAAAAGAAGACCAAAGCTCAACACAAAAATGTTCGTTTTATTTATGCAAAATTAGGATTCATCATCATCGAAGACCAGCCAGTCTGTTATATAACACTCAAATTTAGGAAGTTAACTTTGGATTGAGCTGCTAGGTGGCGCAGCAGATAGTGTGCAGGCCTTGGAATCAGGAGGACCGGAAGTTCAAATGCAGCCTCAGACATCTACTGGGACCCTGGGCAAGTCACTTTACCCTGTTTGTCAAATGTTTGACAGCTTATCAGTTTTCTCATCTGTAAATTGGGAATAACAGCACCTACCTCCTAGGGTTGTTATGAGGATAAAACAAAATACTAATAAAGCATTTTTCAAATGCTAGCTATTACTATTATTTCACCCTTTTGGCAAGTTGCTTCAGAGAAGAAGCCTGGGGATGAAGCCCCAAGTAGGCCAAGTATTGTCTCAGTTATAGGGCAGGAAATCCTGCTCAGGAAAATACTGCTGGTTACAGTGGCTTCCCTGCTTCCTGCTATGAGGAACAAGGGTGTGGCCCAGAAGCAGTTGACTATGTCAGCTTTCCTATAATGCTTATTTAGTGGAAACTATATTATGCTGGGAACACTCACTGCTCTGCAACCAAAGATATTCTTTCAAAACCTTCTAAAAGCACAATTCCAGAAAGATGTGCTTAAGCCTTTTTGACCTCCTTAATCCACTTAATGGGGAGCTAATCAATTCAACATTATTTACTCACAAATTGTGTTTAATAATGGCAAACCTCTGAATTAGCAATATTGGCTATTATCAGATGCCATTTTCCTCTTCTAGAATTTCACTTCTTACCTACAGAAATGAAGATTTTGGGCTAGATCTGAAAAGCTTCTTTTCATCTCTAAAATCCACTGTTTTTGAGACTTCTTGATTTTAAGGCTACTAAATACTGCACATAGAGCCTAACATATAGTAATCCTATAACAAATGCAGACTGATATTATAAAATACACAGGAAAGATGAAAGCTATTTTGGTCCAACCATGGAATTCAGTTGGACAAGGACACTCAGCTTGGATTCTGCAGATATTCAATATTCACTGTTGTAGAAACTGAGATACTAAGACATGGCACAGACCTTGTTCAAAACAATCTAATAGAAGGCAAAGGGTGTATGAAAAAAAAAAGTAAACAGTATGATCAAGAAACACATAAGCGCAAATAACAGGTGTAAAATGCTAAGAAATTAGAGCTATCAAAAAAAATTCACTTTCATTTGACAGATAAGCAGGAAAGTATGGTCAGAAGCAACACACAGATGGTCCTCAAGATATGGGCTGCACAAAGAGTCAAACAGAACAGTCAACATAGATTAAGCAGCAGGGATGCAAATAAACTCTGTACTATTAAGAAGCTTACTTTCTAATGGGGGAAGACCACATTGAGGTAAGCTAGATAAGTACGGAAGAATGGTAACCATAGAGGGGTAAGGAGATTGGCAGGGCAGTTGAGGAGTCCAGAGAACAGGTTGTACCTGAATAAAGTTATCATGGATGGGCTCCTCCTGAACAGGTGGTCAGAAAAGAGTCACCAGTTAGGAGTGGAGCCAGGCAGAGGCAGTTAAGTGATGCAGTGGACAGAGTCAGAGTGGACCTGAAATCAGAAAGACTCATCTTCATGAGTTCAAATCCAGCCTCAGACACTTACTAGCTGAGTTACGCTGGGCAAATCACTTAACCCTGTTTGCCTCAGTTTCTTCATCTGTAAAATGAGTTGGAGAAGGAAATGGCAAACTACTCCAGTATCTCTGCCAACAAAACCCCATGGACAGTTGGTCAACAGGGTCACAATGAGTGGAACATGACTGAATAACTACATAATTATTAATTGGAAGGTTACTCAGCAAGGACTGTGAAGGATGAATGAGAAAAAGACTGCAGAGCATGAAGATCACAAAATTGTAAATTTAGAGGTGGAGTTGAGCTCACAGGCTACCCCCCTAATTTTATAGATGAGGAAACTGAGGTTGGGAAAGGATAATGACTTGATCAGGGTCACACAGCTTTTAGAATACTACCTTGGGGAAAAGAGATAGGAACCAATAGTTGCAGTGAGAGTGGAAAGAAACAGTCTGATGGGAGAAATCTTGGGGTGGTAAAACTAACAGCAATTATTACTGGCAATTGATTGTGTGGGAGTGGGGGTAAGAGACTGGAATGAGAAAAAGATGACTCAGGAATGGTCAGTGCTAAGTGACTAGTAGGAAAAGTGTTGTCATAAAAAGAAAAAAATTAGGAATGGCAAGCTTTCAGAAGGTCATCTGTTTAGAGCTAGAAGGGATCTTTTAATATCTAGTCAGAGAGGTCAAACTCATGGCCCACAGAACTCCCAAGTGTGGCCTGAACCAGATTAAAATGTAATTGAGAAATGTTTTAACAAAATACATAAAAATACAATACAACTTAGAAAATGTTAATTTGTGCTTTTATAAGCAGGAGTCTAGTTCTACTTGAGTCTGACACCACTGATCTAGTCTAACCCCTTAATTTTATGAACAGAAAAAACTGAGCCTCAGAGAAGTTTAAACTTGCCCCAGGTCACACTGGTAATAAATAGGAGAACCAGAATGTGAATTTTTGGATCAAATTTCAGCACTCTCCATATGTACCATGCTACTCTCTTTAGCTGAAGAATTAAGTTTGAGGCATGTTAAACTTTATGATTTAACACAGGCATTATCATTGTCCTTCCATTGTCATTCTGCCACACCTAGGCAAAATACTCTAATTAAAATGGAAATTAAATAACCTAATTTATCCAAAATTAGGTTAGGTCAAATGAGATAGTATTTGTTAACACCTTAGCACAGTGACTGGCACATAGTAAATGCTATCTAAATGTTATCTATTATTGCTACTAAAAAGCCCTGCAGTTAGACTACCTGGCTCTAGAAAAAAAATGGTATGGCCAAGTAGTACTTCAGATAACGTATCCATTTCACAAGGGAGGAGTTTTCATGAGCTCATCATGCATTCACTGATTTTGCATATTTATCAGTTATCTTTGCTATATTGGATACTAGCTCAAATTAAACCAGTATTCCCAGACTAACCTATATGACTGAAAAGATAAAACTTTAAAATTGTTGTTGTTTAGTAATTTTCAGTCATGTCTGGCTCTTCGTGAACCCATTTGGGGTTTTCTTTGCAAAGATGGTTTGCCATTTCCTTCTCCAACAGATGAGGAAACTGAGGCAAACAGGGTTAAGTGACTTGCTTAGGGCCACACAGCTAGTTAAGTATCTGAGGCCAGATTTAAACTTGAGTCTTCCTGGCTAAGCCCAGCACTCTATCCACTTCACCACCTACCTTACCTACTAAACTCAAACAGAAATAGATCCCTGCTGTTAAACCACAAATTAACAAATTTAAAAATATTACCCTGGAAACCAAACAGGATTATGAGGAATGTCAGCTCTTCTGAACTAGTAAAATAAAAACTACAAATCACATTTGAACTAGTACATTTTGGATTATATGTAACATGACTAAAGAGCACAGCTGGCAAGAAAGCACGTCTATTTCAGAGATTAAACTTACAAAACAAGGGAATTCTGACCTGCCCTGTTAAGATACCATGGTACAGTGGAAAGAGGGCTCTGCAATGGAAAGGATCCAGGTTCAAAACCTGGGTTCACCACTTACTATATGACTATAACTATGTCACTTAATGCCTCTAAGACTCATTTGAAAAACTGGATTAAGTACTCATATTACCTACTTCACTGGATGAATCAAGGTAAATTTATGTAAAACACTCTGTGTAGACAAGATTGAGCTTAATATTTACAGGAACAGAATAGGGTCCTGTAGTTGGACACACCTGAAAAGCAGGTTTGAAAAACTAGCCACGAATGGAGTGGATTTCTATGTAAGATGTAGCCCCACATAAAAACACAATACAGTGTAAAATGCCCTTGCACAGTATGGAAAAGAACTCTTTTCTCCTTGTAATTTATTTATTTTATAATTATAGTGGGCAAAGAGGATCTTTTATATTTTGTTTGGTGTCCCAGAATTTAAGCCTAAGATACTATGTAGCCTCAGTTAGAGTTACTTTTTACAACCCACTAGTTTTACTTGGATAGTTCTTTCCGATTGTATTTCAGCTGCCAGTAGGCGGCTCCAAAAAACAAACTTAAAAAAAAAAATCCCACACCTTGACTGATCAGTTTTCAATCTGGGTGTACAGTCAGTGCTTGGTTTAGCCTTCATACTACCAGGTTAAAGTATTCATCTTCCCTTTTTCTCTTCATAACCCTTATTTCTGTCAGCTAATTTAAAGCATGATTTTTACAGCTTCCACTTAAGTCTTATTCCCATGCCTCAGCTGAGTTACTTAAGAGCTCCATCTCTGACAGACCCTCAAACACTAGAAGGGTTAAGTACAGACTCAGACAAGACTTTTGATTCATCTTCAGAGTCATCAGCCAGTCTTGAAAGTAAGCCTCTCTAATCTCAACTAAAGCAGGGAGTTTTTAATTTGTCTAAGTGGAAGGAGTCCCCGGTTCCACTTAAATCACAGACTTATAGAAACAGTGAAGCATTTTAGCTGTAGAGGAAAATGGCCATGCTTATTCTAGTAATTTAAAAGCTAATTTGAACTATCTTCAAAGAGGTCAACTATATGGCAAAAAAAAAAAATTTGCCATTCATTTTTGCTTCCAGGGATTAGCCAGACTTTAAACTGAGGTTATTCCCTAGAGACTCATCCAGGCTTACAGTTACCCAGAAGGATGAAAGACAATACAAAAAGATAGCATTTAAGTGGTAATTCCCAGCCATTAACCTTGAGTTTTCAAAATTATGCCACTCCCTAGGAAAGAACCAGAAAGACAATAAATTAAAAAAAAAAAGGATGAGGGGATGGGAGATGTCACATGAATTACATTAGCTTAAGACTTTGGTTCAAAACATTTTTTCCCACAGATTACACTATAGGTTCAGAAGGACTGTGAACTTATCTTCCCCTCCCAGAGCTTCCAAATTTAAAAAAAATTTCAATTTTTTAAAAAGCGCTCGTAAAAATTCACTTCCGGTGAATGGGCAGTAGAACCAAACAATTTTAGTGGCCCAAAGCAATGAGTTATCATGGCTTTTCTTTAATCAAATATTTAAAGACCACTTACAATTTTTTTAAAAATGCAGTCTTGGAAGAGAAATATCAGGTGACCTGTACAGTTCAGCTCTTTGCAAATTAGCTCTAACAGTGGACAAAGTCCCTTCACCTGCAAAATGAAAAGGCTGAATTTCATCATCTCTAGGATCTCCTTAAAATGGGAGAAAGTATAAAAAGCTGGATGAATTGGGCAAATCACTGAATTACTCTAAGACACATTTTCCTCAATCATAAACAAGGTAGGTCATACTTGCACTATTTACAGGGTTTTGTGAAGCAAGAAAGCTGTTATTGGGGATAGGCTACATATAATGTGTACTAATTCATGGCACATTTAAAGAAGGAATAAAATGTTAAACCTAACCTGCAAGATCATTTTTCACCCCTTTCTCCCCCAAAGCTACTCAAAACATAGAAAAGTCAGAGTGGACAACAGAAGTTAACTCCCTAGACATGACAGGAAAGGGGCTTTTCCTTAATCTCTTCACTACTATTCTCAGCCTCAAATCTGTAATTAATACATCAGATAAACATGAGGATTAACTAATATATTTTATCAGTACTAACAACTGGTCCTGTCTTTTTTTACATAAAAAGTAGTGTGCTTCAGAACAGCACTAGCAACTAGCTTAGTTATATAAAGGCAGTAACACCCGATTCAATTCCTCAAGGATCTCTGAGAACTGCCCTGCACAGAGGCAGGCAGCTTTCAATTCCTCTAAGCAGAAAGGGTCTTTGAAAATTGCTTTGGTCAAAAAAAAGTAATCCCGATACAATCAACCTAGTGAGGAACACTAGGATGGCTCTAGGGCAACAGAGTGATTGATGTCTGTCACAAAGGCCACACCAATCCTGCCAAGTTTTTGCTCTAGCCTCACTAGGTAGGATCACCTCCACCAGCTTATTGCAAAAAATAAACGTATACTAGTTTAAGGTTATCGCATTGTTTTCCTCACCTTCTGTGAGATAATCCTTATTTTACAACGACGACACCAAGGTTTGGTGACTTTAAGTGCCTTAAGATTGTTATGGATAAAGAATGGACCGAGAGATAAGGCAGCCAACTCTCGAGTATTCTGAGTAGTAGGTCTATTAGGGGGAAGCCAAAAGAAAGCAAACAGAAAAATACTTTGAGAGCTTACTAAGTGTACATGGCTGACTTTCACTCCCTTTGTATCCCAAAGGCTTAGCACAGTGCCTGGCACATAGTATGTACTTCATAAATGCTTATCGAGTTGCGTGATATGTCAGTGGGAAGAAAGATGAAAACAGTACTGACGGAAGCAGAGGAAGCTATGACTTCAGGCCAGGCTGCCCAGCCATGAGAACAGGGATGGAGCCCCGCTTTATCTCCGCAGATGAAATCCGTCAAAAAGCATCTATTAACTAATTACCAGTGCCAGACACTGTGCTAAGCACCGGGGATACCAAGAAAAGCCTTTACAGGTTAGTCCCGGCCCTCGAGGTACTCACAAACTAACTGGAGAGAAAATATATGCAAACAACTATTTACGCACAACCACATAGAGCATAAACGGAATAATCAACAGGAAAGGCAGCAGAGTCAGGCGGGGTTGGGGGCAACTTCCTGCAGAAGGCGGATCGTAGCTGGGACTTGAAGGAAGCCGGGAGGCGGAGGGGAAGGAGAGCAGAGGGGAGGGAGAGAGAGGGAGATCGAGGGGCTTGGGTGAGCTGCCCCAACAGCCAGCCCCGGAGGAGGAGGTGCAGGAGAAGAGGAGAGCCCAAGGAGGAGGCGGAGAAAAAGAAGGTCCTGCCCCCCCACGGCAGAGAAAACAGGCCACCGGAGGGGGAGGAGGCAGTAACCGGACACCCGACGCGCACTAGAGTCCAGAGGGGCACGGGGCAGCCCCCCGCCCGCGCTACCGCCCCGTGCCTCGCTCCGGCCGCCGCTCGACCCCCAGAGCCGCGCTCTGGGGGCAGCCGCAGCTGAAAGGTCCTCTGAGGCTGGAGCTGGCTGGGCTTGACCCCAGCGGCCCGGGAAGAGGAAGTGAAAAGACCATAATGTCCACAAACAGTGATGCGGGCGCGGCCGAAAAAAGGCTGGGGGAGCCGGAGCCGGGCGGCGGGGCGGGCAGCCTCCTCCCGCCAGCGGCCGGCCGGGTCTGGGCCGGCGGGGCGCCCTCAGCACCCACTCTCCTCTCGCGCCCGGACACTCACGCTGGCCTCGGAAACGGCGGCAGAGGGCTGAAGAGCTAAGGGGGCACGGCTCGGAGCGCCCCGGGCGGCTGAGGTAGCTGAAGAGGGCCCGGCGGGGGGAGCGAGCGGCGTCCTGCTCCTCGTCTTCGTCCTCCCTCCCAGCGCCGCCGCTCCCGCGGTGCCCGTAGCTGCCGAGCCGCCGCCTCCGGTCCTTTTGTTGTTGTAGAGAGCACGGAACAGCTGATGGGCCGCACCGCCCCCGGCACCGCCCGCCGGGCCTGGAGGCCAATGAGGAGGGAGCGATCTGCGAGGCCGCCTGGGGAGAGGCTGTCACCAACGCACGTGACCTGGCGGCGAGGCCCGGAGACCTTCTCAAGTTAGAAACAAGCCCGGGCAACAAAAGAGGGAAGAGCCGGGGAGGGAGGGGGGCTGCGGGTGGGAGGGGGCGGGGCCTGGAGATGGGCGGAGCAGAGTCTGAGAAGGCTGGGACGTGCTGACCTGCGCCGCGGGAGGACAAGAAGCACTTTCTAAGAGGCGCCCTTGAGAGTCACTGGGCCAGTCCGGCGGCCTCCTCGGGACCCCTTGGGGCAAAGGCCTAGGCGTCTTAACGGGACCTGAGGCCTTGTTTGAGCTCGGCCACGTCTCCCTGCAGGGGCTGTTCTCCGAGCTCCTTGTCTGGGCCAACGTCCTATATAGGACTGGGCAGTGGGAGAGTCTCAGTCCAGGGCCTTTGCTAGCAGAAAGGTGTGTGTGCATCACCCCACCCCCACCCCCGTCAATTAAGAGAAGGACTGGGCCCCACCTCCTTTTGGAAAACCCGGCCCGGAAAACTGTTGGAACCCGTGGGCCCCGCCTGTAAGGCCTGCGGAGTGTGTGAAAGGACTTGGTCCGCCCAGGTATCCGCCAAAGGGGGTGACAGGGAGCTCCATCTCCCGCCTAGACGGGGTTCCCGTCTAAGGGAGAGTCCTGTGTGTCCTTGGCTCTCACCACTAACTTTGCTTTGTGACTTTTCGGCAAGCTGCTTGCTTTTTTAGGGCCTCTTTACTCATCTGTAAAATGGGGATAAAATATTTCACAAGGTGGTAACGTAGAGAAGCAGGTAACAGTGGCTTTGAAAACATTTGAAAATAAAAAGTTATACAAATATAACATCATTATTACCTTATTAACCTTGTGTAAGAAAGTCATTTGAGGGGGATATGGAGCGTTTCCTTTGACATACCCCGGGGCAGGAATGCCTACAGGATACTGCGACCAGGTAGCAGTAGCAGTAAACTCACTTATGTGGACATTTGTGGTTAGAAAGCTTTATATTAACATTTTCCTCACAAGAATCCTGTAAGATAGGTAGTACAAGTTAAAATCTCAATTTTATATATAGAAGTGGCATCAGTGAATTTAAATGGTTTTCTGTAAACCTAATTAATGTCAGAGTCAGTACTCAGACCCAGGAATTGCTTCATGCTCATAGGCTCAGAATTAAAGGGTCGAGATCTTAGAGGTTGAGACCAACCCCTATCAAGTCAAAAGATTTAGGGCCTTTTTTGTAGAACACTTAGCTAATAACCGTAATGGTGATAATAACTGACATATAGCACTTGAAACTTTGCAAAGGCAAAAATTATCCTATTTGAGACTCAGCAACTCTGTGGAATCAGGAAAATTGAGATCAGGGATCAGTTAGTACTGTATCTCCTATAAATTTGGCATCTCCTTGAAGTACTAGCATGCATAGTATGCTAGTGTGCAAGAAGCCTCTTGAATCTGCTTATTGGAACTGGAATTGATGTGAATGTGATGAAATCTTAGCTCCAGGTGACAACTACTTTAACCGAGTGTGCCACAGTAGCAAAGTCACCTAAGGGTATAAACCCTTATTGCTTTCTAGACTGCAGGAGAACTTTTTCTACCATGCTTCACCTCTTCATCCTGAAGCCCCAATCCAGTCCTAGAATTGAAGTTACCTGCCCCTTTAGGCTTCTCCCTCTGATTGGAGTGCTTTTTCCAGAACCTTTTTTATTTGGGGGGGGGGTGTATGTGAGGCAGTTAGGGTTGTGACTTGCCCAGAGTCACACAGCTAGTCATTGTTATGTGTCTGAGGTTGGATTTGAACTCAGGTCCTCCTGACTCCACGGCTGGTGCTCTAGCCACTGCACCACCTAGCTGCCCCTCAGAACCTCCATTTAAGAAGGGCCAACAGCCCACCCTCTCTCATTTAGTGCATGGCTGCATTTGCCTTCCTTTATCACTCTGCTCTCATCCCTCTTTTCTTCCTTTTATATATTGTCTTCCCCTGTTAGAAAGTAAACTCCTTGTAGAACAGAGATACTACTACTTTCTATCTTTCTACCACTAATAGCTAACCTTTATATAAACTCCTACTATGTGCCAGGCACAATGGTAAGCACTTTGCAATTATCCCATTTGATCAGGTTAAATGACTAGTCCAGAGTTACACAGCTTGTAACTGCCTGAGGTTAGGTCTGAAGGCTGGTCTCCCTGGACTCCAGACCTAGCACTTTATCCACTGTACCACCTAGCTGTCCATAAACACTTATTAAGCATCTACTGCGTACCAGGCACGTTGCTTAGCTCTGGGAATACAACAAAGACAGTCCCTGCCCTCAAGGAGGTTACAATCTTAATGGGGAAAGACAACAAACAAAAGGAAGCATAAAAATGGTATGTGGGGGAGAGGTGTCACTGTGGAACACTTGGGTATGGAGTGAGGAAGACCTGAGTTCAAATATGACCTCATTCACTCCCTAACTCTGACCTTGAGCAAATCACTTAATGTCTCTCAGCCTCAGTTTTCTCATCTGTAAAATGAGAATAATAGTAGCGGCTACTTCACAGGGATATTTTGAGGATCTTAACCTAGTGGAATATTCCATGACAACAGTTTGTTCCAACTGCCATGAAAGTGGGTAAAGGAGGCACTGTGGAACATTTAGAGTTTGGTCAGGTGTTGGATGCCAAGGTCATCCACTGCATCCTGGGCTATCCCCAGTCATCTTGACTTTTGTACCGACACTTCAGTGGCTCAGGAAGAGAGAGTGAGGGTAACGATTTTGTTCAACTCTACCTCACTTAAATCCAATTCACCCAAAGGTAAAGGCATCACCTGTGATATCATTGGTCCTCTTTGAAAAATGAAGGACATGGTACAATGGACAGAGCACCGGCCCTGGAGTCAGGAGGACCTCAGTTCAAATCCAGCCTCAGACACATAACACTTACTAGCTGTGTGACCCTGGGCAAGTCACTTAGCCCCATTGCCTAGCCAAAAAAAAAAGAAAGAAAAGAAAAGAAAAGAAAAATGAAGGGCAAACAACAAACACTTGTAAAGTGTATTGCAAACTCAAAAGTGCTATATAAATTCTAGCTATTATTATCATTGGCTCTAAAGACTAAAAGTGTAGTTTGGCTCAGGATACAGTATATCACTCCGTGCTCAGGATAGGCAGTAAATGTTGGCTGTTGTCTGACTTCAGGGGTTGCTAGCAATAGAACTGATATTTGCCCTTTTTGGACAAATGTAGGTGCTCCTAGTATGTGATCTAGATATTACATATTGTCTTGTCTCACCTTATATTGTTTTTTTTTTTCCTAGCAAAGAGTTCATGGAACTTTAACTGTGTTTTGAAGGATTATAAGGTTTGGATAGCTAGAATAATAATACTACTAATAATAGCAGCTGATCATTGTCCTTTATATGCATTATCTCATTTGATGCTCACAACTCTATGGAAGATGCTATTATTATCCCCATTTTGCAGATGAGGAAACTGAGACTAAAAGACATTAGGTGACCAGGCCATAGTCACACAGCTAGTGTCATGTTTAAATATAGGCATCTCAAAAGCAACATATTCAAAAAAGAACTCATGGTCTATTCCCCCACACCCACCCTTCTTCCAGATTTCCCTGTTTCAATTGGAAGTATTACTTTCCTTATAGTCATCTGGGTTTGCTATTTCCATCTCATCCTTGACTCCCAACTCTTCCTGCACACATCCAATAGTTACCAGATCTTTTTTTTTTTCCAAACCTCTTCATCATCATCTTTCGCATATGTCTTCTCTTCACTCACTTAGCCACCATCCTGGGTTAGGTTCTCAAGACAATTTACGAACAGCATCCTAATTGGTCTCTCTGCCTCAAGTCTAGAATGCTCACTCTAATACTTATTTCATGTCTCTTAGCCACCAGTAACTTTCCTAAAGTACAGGTTTGATTTGTGACAAGTGTCATCCCCACTGCTTGATAAATTACAATGGCTCACTATTACCCTCAGAATCAAATATGAACGCCTTTGTTTGGCATTTAAAGCTTTTCATGACCTGGCCCCATCCTACCTTTCAAGCTTTATTATATGCATTACTGCCTTCCTTGCAGTCCTGCCAATCCCTGCCACTGGAGGATCGCCTCAGTTTCCTCATCTGTAAAATGAGCTGGAGAAGGAAATGGCAAACCACTTAGGTATCTTTGCTAAGAAAACCCCTAATGGGGTCACAAAAGTAGGACAGGACTGAAAGGATTCAACAACAATGACAAAATTTTGCCATTGCAAAAATATCTCTCTAGGAGAGGAAGACCTTCAAATTTTCTGGGCAGAATGGAAAACAAGTGATATTTACACTTATTCTAAGCCAGGAGTGGTAACCTGAGGCCTTGAGGCTTCATGTAGCTCTTTAGATCCTCAAGAACAGTTCTTTGACTGAATCCAAACTTTAGAGAACTGAGGCCATACCTGTAAGTCACCAAAAGCAATGCACCATAGAGGCTGGCGGTTATGATTGGCCATTCAATAAAAGCCAGAGTGATTTGGGTCTAAAGGCATAGTCAAGTAGCTCCTTTTGGAACACAGTGAGCTGGTCCGGAGACTATGTGTCTGTCATCTCAGAACCAACTAGTATAGCTAAATTTGAAGAAGTGAATTATCATATTGGCCACAGTTCAGATTTTCAGCTACAGAAACTCTCAAAGAATATTTAATAAGTGACAGTGGGTCAATAGTATCATATGGCTATTGGGACTAGCTGCAGCTGAACATTAAAATATAGTTTTGAATTATTCTCCAGTCAAGATATGCAAGACTGCCTC